GCCCGGGTGCCCCCACCCTGCCCTCCCCCCCGCCGACCTCGACTGCTCGCAGCCCGCCGGCTGCCCTGGTATTCGCCCCGGTAACGGGAGAGACCGCTGCACTAACCACGCAAATCAGCCCCTGGCTTTCCCTGTCAGGGCGCAGCCACAGGGCTTTTGGTTATCGTCGCACACTAACAAACAGAGTTCAATGATCTGGGAGTCTGCAGAAAGATATGACCTAAAGGCCATTTCCAATCAACCAACCACCTTAACTTACTAAACCCATTTTCTTTTATCATATAAGTAGTGCCTTTTTTAAGGCTACACTGTAACATTTTAGCCTTGAAATACATGCTGTAGTGCTAATGCTGTAACGCTACAGTCTGCAGAAATTATTTATGCTACAACACGGGGATGAATTCTGCGTAACAGAGCAGTGCACAAACGTAGCACTGCTCAGAGAGACCCTTCCCACTCGCAGCCCCACAGCCGGCTGCCCTCCAGAACAGCAGGTTGTTCAACCCAACAGAAACAAGGGAGATCCTTTAGGATCATTCCACCCGCACTGAAGCAGGACAAAAATGATCTCAGCTGAAGGGGGAAATGGCATCCTGTGTGCAGGGCGCTCAGCTTTTCAGAGCAGAAGAAAATTGTGTAATTATTCATTATCCAGTTAAACTACGGCCCACTCAACCAATTTCTCCCACATATTTTTCCCATTAATAACTAATAGTTACAGCTGAGTGTCTGAGGACACAGGTACTATTACATAATAATTAAAAGCTACTACAGACAATCTTCAAGAATGAAAAATAATGGGCCACCTCCAAGGGAAACACACAAAGGATCAGAAACACAAAAATGACAGAAAATAAGATGCAAAGCACCGCTTATGAACGTAAGAACACCAATAAACCAAAATTTAAAGTATTTGTCATTTTACTATTTCCCCTCACTTTTCTATGTGTTAAATCAAGGTGAATCTGGGGATTCTATAGCAATTTACAGTATGATTTTGAAGACACCTACATATGTGTAGTGGCCATAGTGTATTCAGATTGCTATTAATTACTTTATCACCTGGAAAGTTATAATTATTATATTACAGCTACACAAAATAAAGAGAATTTACTTTCTGTGCAAGTTAAAGCGTGGGGAAAAAAAGTAGCTGCATTATCAGGCTTAATAAAGTCTGAGACCGGTGCAGGTGTAGCACAAAAATCTTGCAAATCAAAGCTTTTTTTTTTAAAAAAAACAGAATTAGTGACAATCCATTAAAGTGCTTCTAAGTAGCAAGCTGGTTTTTTAATTGACTA